ACCCTTCTTTGTAAGGCCCAAGACCATGTGAGAATGTCCAGCCACTCCAGTAGGAATACCCTGTGACAGATTTTGAATTAGAACACGAGCTGTTACTGCGCAGGAAGCCAAAGCTTGTTTCCCACAGGCATTTTCTACACACTGTCCTCCGATCCATACAGAGTTTATTGGTAATGTTACCTAGGTGTCTAGGTTTATGGTTCTGGAAGAAGATAAACAAGGTAATTTTTCATGCAGAAAGGGGTTCACGTTGTTAGTAATTCCTTTTTCCTAGAGGATCACATCTCACAGTCAATTAGTAATTTTTCCTTGTTCACTACAATGAATGGTGTGTTCTGAAAATGTTTACTTTGCTTAAACATACAGATCAAAGCAATGGCTAAATTTTCTGTTCAGCTCACAAAAACTATAATCAGCTGCTATAGTCTGTAAGATGTACCCCTGAATTTTAAGCCGCACTAAGTCTTAGAGCCTTCTAAGCACTGTCTGTCATCAGGACCTTTTCAGATGAGCTTTTCTCATTTGGGAAATGACAGTCTAATAAAAGAATAATGTACGAGTATTAGTAGTGTCTCATTAACATTTGAGTGATGTGGGCTTCCCAGATCAACTTGGTCTGTTGATAGAGTGGGTGCCATAATGTAATCATCTGGTAAATCTCCTTTAGGTAAGCGATGTCAACGACGATGTCAGGAGGGCAGCTGTAGAATCCCTGGGGTTCCTTCTGTTCAGGTAATAATTTCTAGCTTCAAATTCTATTTATATTCCATCTCCTTGTACTCAGTAATTAAGCACTACTTCTGTACGCGAGAAGTAGATCTAAGGTCACAGTAAAAACATTTAATAAAATTAGTATTGATCAAGTGAATGAGAAGAGAACCAAATGAATCTGGGATATGAGGACTGGTTTGAGGAGGAGTAAAATGATTTTATTGTTTATTTGATCATGACACTGCTTACATATTTAATTTCTTTAATCCAAATACCTTAAATACGCGTGTATAAGCCGAGTGTTTCAGCACATTTTTAATGCAGTTTTTGTGGTAAAAGTAGGTGCCTCAACTGATAGTCGGGTTGGCTTATACTCGAGTATATATGGTGATACATCTTCTAATACGCTCTTTTCTTACATATTGGTCATCCGGATGGTATATCATTTCTTACATGTTACTCTGCCGTGCATTCTGAGTCGCATACAGCAGAACAAAGCACTGCACCACCCTCACAATTGTTCTCATGTTTGAACCCATCCTTTCAGCCAATGTGTCAATTCATCTTCGGGGGCCTTTATTTCTTACATAGGTCTTGTAAAGTTCTGGGAGCTCTTCAATGAGAATAAAGGTAATAGGCCTTGTTTACATAAAGAATGGTGAAAATTTTTCAGATTACAACAATTATTTTAGGTTTGGAGTTGAAATGTGCCATGAGATCTCGTTGGTAGTGTTGTGCCAACAAGACCCCCAGAATCAACGTGTCTGGGTTGGGTCTTCGCTGAATTACTTAGTAGGCTATGTGTCTTTAGGCAAGCTATTTAACCTCTCTACGTTTTATTTTTCTCATGTGTAAATGGAAATAATAATAGTGCTTATCTAAGAAGGTTGTGAAGAGTAAGCAAGTTAATATCAAAACCCCAGTGAAGCAAGTTGAAAGTACTAGTTTTATTATCGTATTTGTGATGAAATTACATTCCTGAGAGATAGTCAAATCTCTCATATCATCTAAATCCCATTAGAAATTTTCCCTACTAAGTTTCCTGAGCATCAAGCTTTATTGTTGATATTGTAATTTAATTAATCAAATGTATATTGAACATTGTGAACAGATTGGTAGATTCCCTCTAAATATCCCAGGTTAGACCTCATCCATTTACTGTAAAATATATTTTTCCTAGTATTGATAAAACTGTTGAATAAAACAGCCATGCACAGACCATATAGCTTGTTGATAGGTTTCTCCCTACATTTGCTGCCTCCTTTCAGTGAGGTGTTCACCAAGGTAGTGCTCTTCACTGTACTTTCTAAGCTTCCTTGTCCACCTTATTTACAAAGACATTGTAGAATCTTAACTAAAGATGTTCATGGGAGCGTCAGAAAGTTTGTGGACATTTTTTTATAGTCCTTTAATTCCATTTTTCTATGAGCTCTTTGAAGCCCTCTCATATTATTTATCCAAATGTCCAAGTATGATATCTCTAAAATGGGAAGAAGTTCGATAGGTTGGGAATTATTGTTATTAGGTGCCTTGAGTTAGTTCCAACTTATCCTGACCTGTACAGCAGAATGAAACTCCGTCCAGTCCTGTGCCATCCCCTCAATTGTTGTGTTTGGGTGCATTGTTGTAGCCACTATTTCTCATCAAGGGTCTTCCTCTTTCGCAGCCCTTTTACCAAGCATGACGGCCTTTTCCAGGGACTGGTCTCTCCTGATAACACGTACAGAGTCCCTGAGACAAGTCCCAACATCCTTGTCTCTAATGAACATTCTGGCTGTACTTCTTCCGAGATGGATCTGTGTGTGCTTTTGGCAGTCCATGGAACTTTCAGTACTCTTTACTTGCACCATAACTCAAATGTCTCAATGCTTCTAGGAGATTTTGGTGGCATATTGGGTTATGCATTAGACTGCTAACCACAAGGGTAGGAATTCTAAACCACCAGCTTTTCTGAGGGGGAGAGAGATGAGGCTTTCTACTCTCGTAAAGAGTTAGTCTCCAAAACCCACAGGGGCAGTTCTGCTCTGTCTTACAGAGTCACTACGAGTCAGCATCCATTCGATGGCAGCACGAGTGAATCCCTGGTTTCCTTCTGTAAGATCAGACGCAGACTTCACAGCCCTAAGTTCCTTGTCTTTTCCCTTTTTCCTTGGTGAACAAAGTGCTGCTAGCCAGCCTCTTTTTGTACCTTTCTTGTTTTGTATCTTTTCTCTAAAAGTTGTCAGCAGTGGTCTCATAAGTATATGTAGGTAGGTAACTCATTTAATTTAGAGAATGGAATTCAATTCATTTAAGGTAGTTAGGCATAATGTCTCTTCACCTATTTTATACTTTGATCGTGATGGTTTAAAAATCATTCTCCTTCAGAGAATAGATGGAAACAAAATGGAAATTGAGATATAATTGAGGTGGGGCTGGGGGGGAATCACATCAAAAAGGATTTGTCTTTGCCATCCCTAATTTGGTTTTCATACTTTGTTTTATTTTTTTCTTGTGGCATAACTAGATAATTTAGTGTGGCAAGAGTCTCTTTCAGACTTACGATTTAGCTTTTTTGAAACACTGATGGATGCCTTCAAATTAATAGAATTCTAAGTACTTAGCGTGATAGCTGAAAACTTAGAATATGGATCTTAACATAAACCAAACCTACCATGTTAGAGACTAGAACCAAGATAGGGAATTATTTGTTTGTTTATTGGCATAATTATTTTGCCTCTTCTGAGTTAATGATGCCAGAAAAGAATCTTAGACTAAGAGAAAAGATGGCTGAAGCTTTGATCTAGGTAGAATCACTGAATTTCCAAGATATACAAAGGGGTTTCAAAAAGTTCATAGAAAAAATTCATTACCTTTTAATTCCTTTTTTCCACACACTTTTGAAGCCCCCTCATGCTATTCCTGGCAGAGGATGTAGCCCTCCTATGAAAAGGTAGCAGATCGGAATTGTGCACTAGAACCGTGTTCTAGGGAAGGCATCTGCCTCAGAGAGCATCGATGCGCACTCGTGCTTAGATGCTCCATTGCCAACACCATTTCTTTCATTTTCCTGCACTGAGTAGCCTGGAAAGGAATCGGTGGAGCTACCAGTGTGACTCAGCGCAAAGTGGAAAAGCTAGTGCATGAGCTGTCTTCACTTGAGACCACCCCTCAAGCCTTGTTTGTTTGCCATTTGTAGAAGAGCATACAAATAAATGTCAGCAGGAAACCGATAAAAGCAGCTGCCATTTAGTGACCGCTGCAATGTAGTCATCCTGTTAAGAAACAATGATGAATCGGGCTCATAGGAGTGAAATGTCTGTCCTAATCTAAAACAGCTAGCTAGTCAGTGGCACAACTAATGATCTAGCTGACTTCCAAGCCCACTACTTTCTCCCATTCTACTTTCTTCAATATTATAGAACCAGCAAGATTTAGCATGGTATATGTATAATGCATGAATGAATAAGAAATTGTTTGCCAGAATGTCAACCAAGTCTTGGGGCAAGCATCTTCAAGAGTCCAGAGGAGCAAGGTGGCTACAATAACAGGCAGGCTTGATCTCAGTCTGGGAGATCACTGACAATCTGATTTGAGGCATGGGCCTCACGATTGAGGGCCCATGCTTCTAATATGCACATGTTCATTAATATTTTTAAGGGATTAAGATACCTGAGAGTAATTTCATTTGCTCTCCTCCTCCCGTAGCCCCAGTACTGCAGAGTAGATGCCTGGTATCAGCTGGTAATAGCTCTAGCTCAAGAATATCCTGTATTCTGTGTAATAGCCACTACTGTCTTCTCCACCCTTTCCATCCAGACAGCTGACTGCCTGGTCAAAGAAGAGCGCCTCTGTTTAGCCAGACCAGACCAAATGGTGGTCTCGTACCTCCAGATGTGACCACTGTCCATGCACTTAGCTCTCTCTTCCTGTCTCTGTTGTTCTTTACATGTCTAACGCTTTTAAGGTCTGAAGGAAAAGTTGCCTATTCATTTTGTTTTAGTTCATTCTTAGCAACAGCTTTGCAGTTAATTAAGAAAATATGATAACTTAAAAAAACCACACACATTTACTGATATATTTAATTTTATTTTTGAATACTTTAATATTTAAACAGAGTTTGGGGCAGTTTTCATTTGCAGCTCTATAAAATGAAGTTTTCATATAATTTGTTCAAGCAAAGAAAATTTGGTAATCTTAATATGTAACTCTTAATTGTAAAGAGATTTCTTTTTTTTAAATTCTTAACGTATTTGCATTTGCTTCGTCTTGCTGACCGTTGTATGATTTAGGAGTAAACGGAGCCAGTTCTACACATAGCTGACTTGCTCTTCAGTTTTGTCACCTTCGTTTTCGGTGAGAAGTAGTGTATCTAGTAGAATGGCTGATGAAGACTGACTAGCTGAACTTCGGAGTCGCATAGGGCTCTGGTAAACAGGATTAATCCCATTTCGCATTCCATGTTTCATGAAAAACTTGGAGTTTTCTGTCACTGGATTCTGGAAGTAGATCTTGCTGGAGCATTTTCTAAGAGTTTGAGTTGATGTTGTGGCCTGGTAATTGCAAGTGATGTATCGTCCAAACGCATCTCGAAATGTCTTGTTGAAGAGGGTGTAGACCAAAGGATTCACCCCTGAGGAGACATAGCCTATCCACACAAATATCTCCAACAGCTTATTGAGAGTAGCCTGACTGCAAGAGTCACACAAAACTAATGTGATATTTGTGATAAAAAAGGGACTCCACATGAGCAAAAAGAGGAAAAAAACAATCCCCAGAACCTTTGAGGCCCTCTGTTCATTGGAAATGGTTTGCACCGATTTTTTTCCACCTGTAGACATCCTTCGTATAAGGATGTCATTGCTTGAGTGGGACAATGTTTTGTCCTTGCGAGAACCATCCAACATTGCCACCTTTTCAGGTGACGAGCAAGGTGTTTCTTCCCTCTGGAAAACTGTGGACACCGTCAACCATGTTAGACGTTGAGGTGGCTTGGTTTTGACCAAGTAAGCTTTCTTCTGTAAAGCACGGATGGTGAGAAAGTAGGTGACGATCATAACTGCCAGAGGCATGAAGAAGGCAGCCAGTGAGCCGAAGAGCATGAAGTTGCTGAAACGGTCCTTTGTCAGTGCACAGGTGATGTTGTTGAGGTTCCCCACATTGACCTCTATACCTTTAATAGGGATTGGAATGGCAATACCTAAAGAAGAAATAAGAAACTGAATGAGTTTTATGAGATAGGACTGTTAGATTTCATCCTTTTAGGATATTTTCAAACAACACCCTACTGGTTTGGGCATTCTAATTTCTGGTTCCCACTTGCAGAATCCGTCAAAGTATTTTTTTTTTAAAGGCTTGACAAATAGCACTTAAGTAAGTAAATAGGTTATAATTAAACAACAATATTGAGTAGTGGGAGTGAAAAAATTGGTGATTTTAGGATCATAATTAAAACTTTCCTAAAGCTATGTATATGATTGTAGTAGAAAAGATGCTCATTTATTTTTCATTACATATTTGAACACTTTGCTGGGTCAAAGAAAAGAAAATCAGCAAAGAAACTTCTATCTAAATATCCAGTTTAATGTAAAGAGAAAGCAGTGTGCATTATACATAGGGCTGCTGACTGTGAGGTCTGCAATTTGAACCCACCAAGAACTCCAGGGAAGAAAGGCTGTCTGCTTCCTTGAATATTGGTGGGCTTAGAAACCCCTTAGAGGGTCTCTGTGAGTCAGAAATGACTTGATACCAGTGAGTCTATTTTTTTTTTTAAGGTTTTAATTTCAAATACCTGTCCATGTTATTTTTTTACATTTGTGAATGTCCCCTAATCCTTTCGTTTTGACTTCTTAGAGAAACGGTAAGGAGTTCATTGATTATATCTATCTATCAATCTAGCCATATAAAAGTGCATGTTATTGAAAAACTTGAGAGCATGTGAATTACAAATTATATTTCAAGACTTGGAGTTCTTGTAATAAACCATTGCCATAGATTTCAACATAGAGTGAGCGACCCCTTGGGACAGAGTAGAATTGCTCCTTTGGGTGTCCAGGGCTGCAATTCTTTATAGGAGCAAAAGCTGTCCATTTCCCTTTCCTAGAGCCCCTCTACAGCGACGCCAATAGATCAGGAAACAATACATACCTCAGGCTGACTTTCTAATACTTCTCCATAAACTAGGTTTTCAAATCATAGCTTATTGGAAAAATAAGTTGCACAAGTTCAGCCAGAAACCTTTCCTTTTAAAATAGTAAATATTTGAAATAGTACTGAATTATGTGATCGTTAGAATTTGTGTCATGTTTTATGAACCCAAAAGGACCCTATTATTTGCACAGACAGCCCTTTTTGATAGCTAACAGACTCATTTTTCTCAAACCCTTTCTCATGAAGAGCCTCATTGCTTTTGCTGTAGCTCCAGAAACAGTACTGCTCACCAAATCCAGCCACTTCTGTTTGTTTGTTTTTATGTCAAGTTGTATTGGAACACAACCACACCCATTAGTGTGTTGTCTATGACTGCTTTTGCTTTACCACAGCAGAATTGAATTACTGTGCCTAAAATAATCAAAGAAGTGCAAAGCCCAAACTATGTATTATTGAACCTTTACAGAAAGGGTTTGCCAATTCCTGCTCGTCATCGTTACACTCAGGTTATCAGGCGACTGTTCATTCCTCCCTTGTGAAGTCTGTTTAGTCTGCTGCCCCACTCTCTTCTTCATCAAGGTTATCTACCAGCCTCTAACACACGTCCCCTCTTCCTCAGTGGGTTCAGTCTTCCTGTCTACTGGCTCCATCATCTTCATGACTCCATCCCTTGTTGATATTTCTTAGACTTTAGTTTTCTATTTCATGAACTTCTTAATTCTGATTATTAGCATTGTACTATTGCTGTTGAATCTGTTCTGACTCGTAGCAACTTTGTGTGCAGTAGAACTAAGCACTTCCCTGTCCTGCATTGTCCTCATAATTGCTGTTAGGTGTGAGCCCATTATTGCAACTACGGTGTCTGTCCCTCTCCTAGAAGGTCTTCCTTGTCAACTGTACCAAAAAGATGTCCTTCTCTAGGAACTGTCCTTCCTGAGAACATATCCAAAGTACCTGCCACACAGTCTTGCCACCCTTTCTGCTAAGGCGCATTGTGATTACATTTCTTCTTAAACAGATTGTTCATTCTTCTGACAGTCCACAGTATATACCTTATTCTTTGCCAGCATCATTGTCCAACTTTCACATGGCCAGGAAATGATTTAAATCACATTGGTGCACCTTATGCTTCAAAGTGACATCTTTGCTTTTGGACATTTGAGAGAAGTCTTTTGCAGAAAATTTGCCCTGCATAGTATGTCATTTGCTTTCTTAACTGCTGCTGTCATGGGCATGAATATGGATTTCTTTCAGTTAATTGGCCAGATAATCATCTTCCAAATTTCCTTGAATAGTTGATTGAGCAATTCCAGCATTGCATCAATTTGATGAAACATCTCAATTCCTGGGGCCTTGTTTCTCACCAATGCCTTCATTGTAACTTGGACTACTTCCTTCAATGCCAATGGTTTTTGACCATATGCTGCCTCCTGAAATGGTCAAACATTGACCAGTTCTTTTGGGTACAGTGGCTGTGTGTTCCTCCTACCTCCTTTTAAACCTTCCTGTGCCAATAAATATTTTGCCCATAGAATCCTTTCATATTAAAATTAAAGGCTTGAAGTTTTTTGATTCTTAGAACGTGAGAGATACAGAGCATGTTCTTTCTTTTTGGTTTTGAGGTCTTTTCATATTTCATTATAATACTGTACTTTGTTTTTTTTTTTCTCTAGCCACCCTTTGAACTCTTCTATTCAGGTCTATTTCTTCTGTTTGCTTTAACTGCCCTACATTCTGATTTTAGTCTTCTCTTGTCTTTTTAATGACCTTCCACTGATCTTTATATATGAGCGGATACCCCCAGAAAACTAGGAAAAAATTCTGCTGGATGAAGTTTTCTTGGTACACTTCTTGCTAGGCAAGAAGCATTGAGCAACTCGCTCTGAGTTAGTGCACAGAATGGCATCTCTTAGGAAGGTTCTCTGTCAAAGTGAATTTTTTCCTAAAAGCAGTTCCACTTGAACCTCGTTTTTGATGATGGCCGTTTTAAGAGAACAGCGTGCAGGTGTGAAATTTTGTTTCCTACTCAGGAAAAATAACGCAGAAATGTCTGATGTTGAACACAGTTCACGATAGCGCTTTAGGTTTATGAGTGGTGTTCTCAGTTAAATGTTGATTGATGACAAACCTCATTCTGGACGTCTATTAACTTCCCAAACGGAAGAAAATGTAAACAATTTGTGCACTTGTGCTCACAGACCAATGACAGGCCATTGAAGAGAGGGAGAGGTTATCTAGACTCTATTGGAGTTCGGTTCAGCAAATCTTAACAGATTTGGAAATGAGAAGGGTTGCTGTGGAATGTGTGCTTCCGGTTCTGACGGACCAGGAAAAAGAGCCGAGTGGAAGCAGCTCCAGAGCAACTCATCATTTTTCCCAAGGCCATCACTGGTGGCAAGACATGGCGCAGTTCTCACAGCCCTGGAAGCAAAGATCAATCAAGCCAGTGGAAGACTCCCTCCGCCAGTCACGTCGCCCAAAGTGAAATCAAAGATCAAGATGATGCTCGTTTGTTTGTTTGTTTGTTTTGATGTGAAAGAGATAATGCATTGGGGGGATAGTGCATTTGGAGTTGGTTCCACCAGGTAAGACTGTTAATCGAGCTTTCTAGTTAGAGGTTCTGAAAAGAGTGTGTAACTGTGACACAAAGGCCTGATTTGTGGCAGATGGGGGACTGGTTTTGCCACCACGTCAGTGCACCAGTTTTTGGCAAAAAACAGCATGTCTCTCTTGTCCCACATACTTTATTCACCTGACCTCGCTCCATGTAACTTCTGTTCATTTCCAAGAATGAAGAGGGACATGAAAGGACAGCAATTTGAGGGCATAGAAAAGGTGAAGAAAAAATGAGGGGGATGCTGTCAACCGTCCAGATGAGTTTGAAAAATGTTTCCAAGAATGGAATCGCCGCATTTGACAAATGTATTAAGTGTAATGGAGAGTACTTTGAAAGTGATAAGGTTCTTTTGTAAAAATATTTAAATACATAGCTTTGGGGGTAAATTCTGGGATTTTTTGTGTACCCTCATATTACCCTTGACATAACTCTTCAACTCATTTCATCTTTAGTCATTCGTGTTTGCTGCTGTGCCTGCTGTTTTCAGCCGCTCCTTCCTCCAAAGTGGCAGATGATTGCTTCCTTGTCTGTTCTTAGTCTGGAAGTGTCGCTGAAACCTGTGACCCTGCTGATATTTGAAATACCGGGGGCAGCTGTGAAATTCCAGCAACACACAAGCCACCACAGTTTGACAAAGTCTTGACAGACAAATGGTGGCCAAAGGAAGCCCCCGACAAAATAGATTGACACAGTGGCTACACCAGTGGGCTCAGGCATAGGAACAATTGTGAGGCTGGCACAGGACTTAGCCGTGTTTCCTTCTGTTGTGCAGAGGGGCTCCCTGGGTCAGAACTGACTTAGTCGTACCTAACAAGAATTAACACTGTTCATTTCATCAATTCTGTTCTTGAGATGTCTCTAAAGTTGGCTGGAATTGACTCAGAGTTGTCATTTTCTTCAGCTTCAACTTGAACTTACATATGAGCAATTGATGGTTTCTTCCACACTTGGTGCCTGGCCTTCTTGTAACTAATGATATTGAACTTCCCCATCTTCTCTTTCTACAAATATAATTTATTTGATTCCTGTGTATCCCATCTGGCAAGGTCCACATATAGTTTATGTTGTTGACAAAAAAGTTCATTTGCAGTGAGTAAGTCAGCTTTGAAAAATTGTACCCTGGGAACTCCAGAATCATTTCTGTCACCAAGATCATATTTTCTAATTACTATCCGTCCTCTTTGTTTCCAGCTTTCACATTCCAATTACCAGTAATTATCATTCCGGTTGTATGTTTGATCCATTTCAGACTGCAGGATTTAGTAAATATTTTCAGTTTTCTCGTCTTTGGAATTAGTGTTTGGTACATGGATTTGAATAATAGTTGTATTATTTGGTCTTCCTTATAGGCATATTAACATTATTCTTATCACTGACAGTGTTAGACTTCAGGATAAATCTTTTTTTTTTTTTTTACAGAACGCTTCACGAATTTGTATGTCATCCTTGCGCAGGGGCCATGCTAATCTTCTCTGTATCATTCCAATTTTAGTATATGTGCTGCCGAAGCGAGCACCAGGATAAATCTTAAAATATTCTTTTTAAATGATGAATATGAAGCCATTCTACTTCAGTTTTTCTTATCCCATAGTAAAACATATGCTGTCTGATTCCAAATGATCGGACCAGTTCATGTCAGTTCACGAGTGCCTACAATGTTGGTCTTTGTTCTTCCATTTCATTTCTGACTTCTAATTTTCCTAGTTTCACTTTGTACATTTTATATATTCCAATTATTAGTGGATTGTCGCAGCTGTTTCTTCTGCTCTGAGTCCTGAACACTTTACTCCGTCCGCATCATTAAAGTCACCTGTACTTAGTTAAGGAGGCAGCTCTTCCCCAGCCAGGCTTTGAGCATCTTTCAACCTGAGGGCTCGTCTTCCAAATCTGTATCAGACTGTGTTCCTATTCCTGAGGCTTTCCCTGGCCAATTTTGAGGTTTTTTAAGAAATAGATTACCAGATGGCATAATGGTTATTCCAGGTCAGCAGTTCGAAACCACCAGCAATTCCTTGAGAGAAAGACTAGGCTTTTAATACTCTGGTGAAGAGTTAGTCTCGTAAACCCACAGGGGCAGTTCTACCTTGTCCTGCAGGATCACTCTAAGTTGGAACCGAGTTGGTGGCAGTGAGTTTTGTTTTTCTCTCCTTCTGCCGGTGCTTTTCAGTCTGGAAGCTCCGCTGAAAGACTCTCTCCATCCTGAGTAGACTTCTCCTTAACCCTGCTTTCTTCTTCTGCCAGAGTAATAACTCTCCTTGCTTTTCCCAGCAAAGTTCTCAAAGGGGATTTGACCCTCATATTTCATTTCAGGGATATAAAAATTTATCTGTGTCATGCTCCTTTGCAGTGTTTTTCCTGCTAGGAGTGAAGTCATGCTTTTTCTTGCCCTGTCTTTAGCATCCATATCTAGATTTTTCTCCCCGTCGATTTTATTTTACTAGGAAGAATTGAATCAGCGTGTGAGACTAATGAGCACGGCAGTTGTTTTTCTAGTGTTATCTTAGAAAAGAGGTATAAGTTATTGCTTATGCTCCTTTTTTTTTTTTTTTTTGTGGGGGACCTGGGTTATACTTGATGCTAAGGAGCTCTATCATAGCATTTATTTTTGATTTTTAGTTGTAGGTATCAGGACATAAAAGCAGTTTAGAAGAAATGTGATTTCTTTTTATAAATCATTTCTGAACATCCGTTTAACATGTTTTCTTTGCATATCCCTTCCAACAAAACTTACTCAAATACTTAAGCAGGCAGTTTACTGTTTTCAGTTCGTATGATTATTGAACTGTAGGCGTCTACATTACATTTGTGATACCTACCTACAAAACAGGGGCGGAGGGCTTCAAAAAATTCATAGAAACATTTTCTGTGAGCTTTTAAAAACCCCACTGGTGGTGCTTTGGGGTAAGCATTGGACTGCTGACCACAAGGTTGGTGGTTCAAGGGAGAAAGATGATGCCGTCTGTTCCTGATCAAATTTAAAGTCTCTGAAACTAAACGGACACGAATCAGAATTGACTGGGTGACTGGGTTTTTGTTTGTATAGTCTTTTGATTTTCATTTTCCTCTTTTTCTGTTTCTCTTCTGAGATGTCATTTAAAGTATGTTTCATTTCTTCTAACTCTTAACTGTGGAATTCTCTACCTTAATGATCTCCTGTTGACAGTTATCAAAACTGCTTTCCTACATCCTAATATCAAAGCAGGCAGATGGCTCAGTAAGGACTGTGGACATTGCCTTCTTTGAGGTTGTAAAGTTTTCTACTCTCGTACTTTTTGATGACCCTGGCCTAAGAGCTATATGATAGATTTAATGACACAAGTATTGATCTTTAGGCATAGGTACCAGGACATAAAAGGAGTTTAGAAGAAATGTGATTTAAGGTATGTTTCATTTCTTGTAACTTTAATTATGGAATTTCATATGATATGTTGTCTACCACAGTAGACTACCTGGACCTTGGACAAAGTTTCATAGCATGGTAGACCTGGTGTTCTCCTGAGCCAGTAACTGCCAAGGCTGTCAGTGAGCGAGCACCCTGACAATTCCTCACATACCTATTGAGATCAGCCACACCACTGTGATCTTGATGAATGCTGTAGCCCGGGAGTTACATTGATTGGCCTGGATTGGCTTTTTAATGGCTACGTAGCGGTCCACAGAGATGGCACAGAGATGCATGATTGACGCAGTGGAGAAGAGAACGTCCAGAAATAGCCATGCCGGGCAGAGGCCGAGTGGGAGGGGCCACATGGGCTCTGAAAAGAACAAAAACATTTTCAGCTCCTTTTCCATTACTTTTATTTTTTATTTAATTTTATTCTTTTAAGCAAAAGGGAAGAAATTTATTGGAGCCCGTACGGGAAACCCTAGAGGAGCCCAGCATCCCCTTCTGCATAGGCATGCACACCCATGTCCCAGAGGGACTCTCTTGAGCCGAGTCCCAAAGCCCCAGGACTGGCTGGGGTGGGGATATTTTTGTAAAATTTTATGACTTCACCTTTACAAGGTATTAGGTTTGGGATAATGGGACAGTAATACTAAATAAAATATTTCTGTAGCTGATAACCTATTTAAAGGGTTAAATGTGCGTTTTACCAAAAAAAAGGTGCGTTTTACCATGCTCCCTCCTCATGGCTCTTTTTCTTTGTAAGCCAGTAGCAGTTTAGCATAATTTTTAGCCCATTTGACCTTCCTTTATGATAATTTCATTTGTCATCTTTTGAAAAGTTATACAATATTTGCAACATTGAAACTAAACTTTGCTATTCAAGTTAAACTTATTTTTAAATTGCTATTGTATAAAAATAAAAACACTTTGCCACTTTAGAGGAAGCAGTGTAATGTGGTAAAAGGAATGTTGGAAGAAAGAATATTGGAAGCCTGAGTGTTGGCCTCTTTTTAGCAATAATTAGTAACGTGATCTTTGTTGATAACAAACTTTCACTTGGACAAAAATCATACTTGATTTCAAATCTGCTGAAAAGAATGGCTGCAGATTTTCTTGGGAACAAAGACTTGTTACATTGCCACATCCCATCTTTCTCACCAAGCAACAGTGGTGCCATAAGCAATTCAGACGGTTTTTTAAAATCTCAATTAGACACCATTTTTATTTAATAACTTTTACAGAGTTCTTACTGAATAATATTTCTTACTAGGAATAATTTTGTTTGTTTTAAATTTAGGTTGGGGTATGATCCCAAATATTCTACAGGTTTCCAGTAAAAATCTATTTACAAAGGTGTCCATACACAAATACGCAATACACAAACACCCCATCCCCAGTGACATATTGCTTGTGTGTCCCATTGCGTGTTGGGCAAGATCGGCAGTTCTAAACCACCAGCCTTTCCTTGGGGGCTTTCTATTTCTGTAAGGCGTTAGTCTCTGAAACTCACAGGGGCAGTTCTACCCTGTCCTTAGAGGGTCGCTATGAGTCGCCATCAACTAAGTGGCAGTGAGAGAGTGAGAGATGATATATATATATATATATGTGCATTATGTGTTATACACACACCCACCATATTTGTGTTTGCATTATTGAAAGAAGAAAAATTCATTTCAGGGTTTCCCCTAGAATATTTCAGTAAGCATCTGTTTTATAACACACATACACACGAAAGTAGCAAAACAATTCTTTATGTATAGAAACAAATGTCTTGTATATGATTATTAGTCCCTGTTCCTGTTTAACACCAGGTTTACAAGACACATCATTTTGATGCATTTCAGGTTCCTCAATGAAAATTATACAAACCTTTTATGCACATTTATGCTGACTTATCCATTTAATAAGACAAAGATAGATCCGAATTCATTTTCTGTTAAGCGTTCTAATCTTGAAATTCTCTTGAGTGGTATACCTATCTCTACAGATGCGCTTCAATTTGATGCGAACATAAATTGAGTATTAATCCCAGTAAATTGGTTTCATTAATGAAAGCATTACTTCAGTAATAAATATAAACATATTCAAAAAGTTCTTAGAAGAAACCCTCAAATGTAAAGACAAACAACACACCAGATTATAATCCCTTACAATATGTTGAACCCAATATTCTCGAATGTTGTATGTTACATATTATATATTTTGTATAAATATAGTATCACATACTTTCATTTATGTTAAGTCTACACTTTTTAAAAAATTAAGTTTTTAAGAGAATGCAGCCTTGTTCGTGTATCAATTTGACACATGTACGTAGAGATAGTTACATAAGAAATGTCTGTAAACCTAGTGTTAATTTGTGTGTCCATTGACAAAAACTGCTTTTCTTCGTTGCTTTTTGCACGTGTACCTGACCTTGCCATATATAAAGTGAATGAAATGAAGGAAGGACCGTAATCTTAGGGTTGCTGATCCCAAACCAAGCCCAATGCCATTGAGGCCATTCTAACTAATAGCTACCCCATAGGACAGAGTAGAACTGTTCATTAGGGTTTCCAACACTGTAAATCTTTACAGGAGCAAAGAACTGCCGACTTTGCAGTTAGCCGCCCAAGGTTTAACTCACTGCAACAACAGGCTCCTTGGTATTCTTAATAGGAATATTAAAATATTTCTTTGGGACAAAAATCATGTCCATTAAAGTTTTGTTTAAAAAGATAAACAATTTGCTTGGCTGTGGTTCCATATTCAGTAGCTTTTAAATAAAAGCACCTATGTGGAAGGAGTCATTGATACTTCAAAGTCAGTAGTGTCAAACTGGCGGCTGTGGCCCCCAATGTAATTTTTTGTGGCCCACGATGCTCTGAAATAAAATGAAAATAGGAAAAAAAATGTTTTGAAGAAAATAGCGCTTAGGGGAGATGGAGGCAATACTGTACACACAATTCCCTCATTACATTTTATTTCAGAGCATCATGGGCCACAAAAAATTACCTCGGGGGCTGTATGTGACCCTCAGGCTTCCAGTTTGATACCCCTGTTCTAAGTAAATCACTAACCAACCTTTTCCTCCCTGTTGAGTTGGGGGTGGGAGTAAAGGTGAAGATGATACATTACAGCTTTGAACTGAAAGGGCCTTTAGAGGTCTTACCAGTTTTCCAGATGAGTGAAATTCAAGTATCATTTAAGCCTTTGAATATTGGGTGGGGGATTTTTTAAAATCAAAGCTTAAATGTTGAGAGTAGTCTTTGAAACTTTGTTGCTCAAACTAGTCTTCCAATTAGCAAGGATTGGCATCAATTGGGTACTTGTTAGGAATGCAGGCTCTCAGGCCCCAACCAGGCCTCCTCAGTCAGACTTAGGCTTAAAGAGATGCACGGGAGCATCTAGGCATGTTCCCCTTGCAAGTCTTAAAGGATGTACCGAGGTTTACTGAAGAGAGTTCTCTTTAATCACACCCTGAATGCCTTGGAGAAAGGCTCACAAGAGAGACCCCTTCAGATAAAGCCCGGACAGCAGAGAACCTGTGTGTAGAGAGAAGCTGATCCACGGGGTTTTCTTTCTCGGAGCCACAGCAGTCCGTTAGACTTTTGTGGGGAAAAGCCCTGAAAGGTCCCAGGCAGCAGTACATTCTGCCACCAACTCCATCGGAACAGAGTGAAAAGAACCTCCTAGGATTCAGGGATTTGCTTGTGAAAACTATGTGAAGTGGTGCTGCATTCTACACTTAACATTCTAGATTTCCAACTGGGGGAATAAAAAATACTCAAAGCCAGAGCTACAACTAGAGATTATGACCATAGTGTAAAGATTTAAAAATGCAAATAGTTACTATGTTGTATTTTAGGCATTCATTAAGTGCATGTGTACAAATCAGTTTTTTAAATTGTTTTCATTTAAATTCACTTATTTAGCTATTCTTATTAAGGGTTATACTTTTGAAGGTTATGGTGTGGAAAATTCTAGTCATAAATCTAGTAAACATAGCAGAAAGTTGCAGTAGAACTCTCATATAAAAAGTGCAAGTCTTTGGGATTAGACTGTGATCCCCATACTCCCACTTGCAGGTCAGGGGAAAACCTTGTTACTGCCGAAGTAATCCAGCTTGTGAAGTGGTGTTAGCCACACTTCCCAACAGAATGGCCTTATTTTATAAACCCCAATGGAGGAGGGGGTGGGGGTGGGGGCACAAAAAATAGAAATTACAATCGATGTAAATCAGAGTTCTATTCAGTCGGTGCCTTTGTATTTCTAACAGTAGAAATACTAAGATATGTAATACATAGTTTTCTTTAAGAAAGATCATGAGGCTGAGGTTAAGGGTTAAAAGAAATGAATCTTTCTGATTGGCCTTTATGATTCTCAGTTTCATGAAATGCTAGAAAATAGACTTATGAAATTAACATAAATGTAACAGACACATGTATTACATTACTAGAAATCTTTTACATAACACTTTTTTTTTAAAAAGTCTTGTCTAAGGTGAAAAGTTAGATATATTTTTTATTGGTCAAAGAACTTTCCTAGTCCAGATAATTTCATTCTGAACTATTAATTTGGTAGGCTCAAGGTAAAAACAGTGTTTGAATTTTTAGAATAATTGGGTAAGCTGATAGTGATATATTCAAATTTTTACCTATTTTATTGAGATTTTAAATTTATAATTAAGATTTGTTATATTATGCTCAGCTTGCTTCCTTAAGAATTTGAGACACAATTTAACTGGTGAAAAAAATGTAAGTAATTTAAAAAGAGGAGCTACAGATTGAAATAAAAAGGAAGAAATAAATGTATCTAAGAGTCAGTCTAGGGGAAATCATTTGTCAGGTACTTGAACTCAGTTATAGCTATTCTGGGATTCTTAGGTTTGATCTTTTTATAAAAGCTACGATAGAAGGGTGGAAGCATTTAGATTATATAGCATTTGTTTCACAAAAATTCTCTGAAAAATGAATCCCATTTTCTCTCTCCTTCCTTACCCCAAATTAAATGCAGGAATTTAATTTCAATAGGATTTATCTAATGACATTTCTGTAGGTGCCTACAGTATTAAGAATATTGAATACCATAGGAGCAAAATTAGCTGAATATTAGCACAATTGTGTTGTTTTTAACATGCTATAAACAATAATTTTAAGATGTGTGTATCAAGCATATATATAAGTGCTTTGAACTTGTTTCATACATAAGGAATGATAGAATTATTATTTCATTATATAAGTTTCTATTTGTCACCCATACAAGGTTGAATGTCTTCATAGGTGTGGGCCTGGGTCTGATTTCTTCCTTCAAGAAGTCAGGTAATCATCTCGAGAGTTCTTAAAAGTACTGGTTGAATACTGTTTCATATCATTTAAAATTAAATATAACAATTTAAACAGAAACATAAAATGAGTTCTATAGCTCTCTTGTTAAGTGGCGTTACTGAGAATGTGGTTGCTGAGTGCTGACTCCACAGTTTCCATCTGGAACAGCCGAGGAAAAGAGTTAAAGAGTGGAAACTCTGGAGTCAGTCTTTCTAGGTTCAGATCGTTTCTGCCACTTACTTTAATCTTGGGCAGATTATTTATCTCCTCTGTGCTCCCTCTAAAATTGGGGTAATACTAATACCTACTTCATAGAATTGCTTTAAAGATGAGATGCAATCATAAGTGGGAGGTTTTTAGAACACTATCTGGGTGACAGTACCATTGTTGGGTGATAGACGCTAGCCACTGGCTGCCCTCCCCTTTGTTCACGCCTGCTCAGAAACAGTAAACCGTATTATCATCGGTACAGAGCAGAATGCTTGTCTTTCTGCTTGCTGTAGCAAGAGTGCGGGCATCTGGTGGAGCATGAAGTGGTACCTTCAAGAGCAAAAGAACAAGGATATGAACATGTTTAACTCTCTAAAAGGCTTATTTTATGACAAATTTAATTAGAATTTAGATAGAGTTGAACAAGTTCTCATATAGTAATTGATTGTTCTACGTACCATGTTAAGAAGCCCTGGTGATGTGAATTAGGAGTTGGACCACTAACAACAAAATCAGTAGTTCAAACCTACCAGCTGCTCTGAAGAAGGAAGAGGAGGCTTTCTGCTGACACTAAGGATTTGCAGCTTCAGAAGCCCACAGGGCCAATTCAACTATATAGGGTCAAAGTATGAGTCAGAACTATTGAGCTTGGTTTGAGTTTGAAGGACCATGTGCCTCTCAGGTGTTACTGTTTATTTTATGGACCTGTATATTGTTTGGCTCAAAGGCGGTCTCCAAGAATACCATTTAGTTTCAGACCAGAAGAATATTTTAGGGACTTTCATAATCTTTGGGGTTCTTCTAGTCTGTGTCTTATCATTAAATCTCCTTTTTTGGTGAATTGTATACATTGCTTCCATTATTTCTGGGACCCAGTCAGTGTTGATAGCTGGATACCATCTAGTTCTGGTCTTTGAGTCACCTAGGTTTTTAAAAATCTTATATTGTAAAACCACGAGCCCTGTGCTGTGCCAGAATCATCATAATTTTTGTAAAATAAGAATTCATATAATACAAAACAAAACCCCTATTGTTGAGTCTATTCTGACCCTTTAAGGCAGGATAGAACTGGGTTTCCGAGACTTTAAATCTTTACAGGAACAGACAGCTTCAACTTCCCTCCTCAATCAACTGGTGAGTTTGAACTACTGATCTTCCATAATTTTTGCAAATAAAAGTTCATGTAGTATCGGGTGAACTATTATGGGTCAATGATTAAATAGAATACCCGGTAGCATAAAGGCACTCTGTGTTTCGCTTTAAAACTTTGTTATATTAATAAATGAAATTCTGTGTTATTTTCATTGCATTTCTTTTAATGTAACTAATGTTTTTTGCTGTCTTATCAAGTCAGCATGGAATCTTTCATTTGTGTAATGAGGCAATCTAAGAAAAACACCACTCCTGCTCTTTAAACCTATCAGAAGCTTTCATAATTTAAGGAGTCCTGCAAGGGCAGCAGTTTGAAACCACCAGCCTCTCTGTAGGCTTTTACTCCTGCAAAGAGTCACAGGCTCAGAAACCTCCTCGGTCGCTTCTGTGGGGTTGCTGTGAGTCGGACTCACTCGAGCCCGTGTTTGATGTTCAGTGTGGTGGCATAGTGTGTGGCACATTGAGCTGCTAACCCTTCATATTTATCCATGTGTGAAAGGCTGTCAAAGATCTTAGTACCTGTAGTCAGACCCATATTTATAATGCATGCAATTCCAATTTAAGATTGCAACTGATGAAGCTTTTAGAGGGCAGCATATACTGTCCTTTAAACTTTCTTATGAAATAATTTTTAAAACAATTAAATTCCCAGATTCGTTTGTTTAAAATATTCTAATAATCCCAACACTGTAGTTTAATGACTGATATTAAAAGTGTTTGGGGCTGTGAAAATTTTTATTTTGTAATTAAATATGAACAAATCTGTAAAATTATAAAATGCTATAGGCAAACGCCGACCCGCCTGCTCCGTGCCGGGCACAGGGTTAACAGGGACCCAGCCACCACTTGCCCTTCCCCCAGGGGCCACCAGGGCCTATGAGCCAAAGACCTGTCCCAACGCTGGGTCCTTCCACCTGCCCCACGATAAATGCCTCAGACTACCACCACCACCCCAAAATGCTATTGGAAAATATGAATATATAGGATATCATATAAATATCTAGGATATAAATGTCAAAACATACCATATATTTATATTAAAATATGTTGGATTTTCTGCTTTATTGCTAAAAAAAGATTTGTGGCACCAAAATTAAGATTCCTTGTTTCTTTAGCAAGTATTTAATATTTCATTGACTTGTGCATTCTAAAGTTAAAACCGACTTTCTACGTAACTTGTTCAGTCTCATTATGTAACATAACATTAACTAAGTTTTATGGTAGTAAAAGAAGAGTATTAAAGTTTGACAAGAGGGCTGTACACTTGAAGCTGTTGTGATGTATGGAGATAAAGTGCTTGAATTCTTAAATTACACACCTATATGATCTTTACCAAATGTGCATACATATTTCTACAGACTTCATTTCCTTTATTTCTTTTTAATTTGATTCAGAATTGACGTTGTCTTTTAGAGTAAGATCTCTTCTTTATTTGCATGGCCACAGTACATATCACTAGAAAGACAACAGTAGTGCATAGAGATTCTAAGTAAAGCAGTGGAACTTTACTCATTGTTGTTGGTCCTGTCACAGAATTTCCTGGCTTTCCTCTGACAAGTGCAAAATTCAAACCAGTCACCATCTGATTGCACTTAAGTTAGAGGACTGACTTTCGTTATCATTACTTAAAAAATTTATCATTTTAAGTTTGGTGTAACGGTTTGAATAGTAGTTTCTTTGTATCTTCTAGTAAGCATTCTAGTCGAGTAAGTTTTATTTCACTTGTAATTGTCTCTATTGCTACAAATTATTTTTCATAAGCACTTAATGACTTGAAAATTGTTTCTCAACCCTGGTTCTGAGTGTCTAAGGGCCCTCTTAATATTTGTATTTATTAAGATTCTGTTACTAGAGATGATTATGCATGAATCAGAAACTGTTTTAATATCATCTTTTTATTATACCTAAAATTCCAATGTCAAACGATGCATTTTTGTGTCTCAAATAAATCAACATTTTGTGCACTTATTAATTTAGAGGTCTGATTCCTCGTCCATACATCAGCAACACAGATGGTCAAACAGCATGCAAATTAAACAGATGGATCATCTCTCGGGACGCTCCGAGCCGTACCATTTCCTTCAGGAACTAACATAATTTTTTCTTCACATGACACATATGTAGGACTTGTATTCAAGTCTAAAAGTATATAAACTATAAAGAGATGTGACAAGACCTTTAGAACAGTTTCGGTTTAAAATAGGACTATTTCAGATACTTCATCTTTAATAATTAACCCAACCTATATCTGTCGCAGATAATGCCCTAGATAACTATTTTGTCAAGAAAAAAAGATAGCTATTGATACTGGTGAAAGGTTCAAATATAGATCTATATTTCACTATAATTATCATGGTTGACATTTTTTTACTGATTTTGTTCAGTGATTGATGAGAGTAAAATTATTTTCAAGAAATTATTTTTTATTCTTTTAAAGTTGATTATCAGTCATAGAAAATGATGAAAACTAAGGGACTGTTTACTTACTAAAGTTTTAAATCACCCAACTTTTATTTCAAGGAAAGTAGAGATTAAATGGGTGCCTAGTTCTTGTGATCCCGCGGTTTCATAGCAGGAACAAAGTGAAATACTTACCAAACATGATTGTCAAGAGAGCAATGGGCATCACGAACAGTCCAACCAGCAGGTCGGCCACCGCCAGGGACATTAGGAAGTAATTGGTGGCATACTGCAGCTTTTTCTCCAGTGAGACAGCCAGAATGACCAGGATGTTTCCGCCAATTGTGGGTACGATCACTGTGAGAATCAGAAGTGCTGCCCAGCGCAGTTTGCTTCCCTGATCCTCGGCAGTCTGTCGCATCCCTGCTGCTACTGGTTCTGTCTGGAATCCGGACTGGTTGGGAGAGATTAAATCCTCGAATGTACTCAGCAAAATGTGCTCAGGACTCATGCTTTGTTCAGACATTCTATAGGAGAAAGCCATGTGCTGTTTTTCTGTGATTTGATGGTATTCCAAACAATGGCCAGCATGGTCAGTGACTGGACTGGTCATCTGCTTTTTTAAGCCACTGTACCCGTGCCAAACACTCAAAGCACAAGTTGACTCCTTTCTTAAAAAAAGATTTCAAGTCCTCCCAAAGGAACGCGTGCATGCATCTGTCCATGTCTGCGGGTAGTGATGCAGTCTTGGGAAGGCTTAGTGAAAGAAATCAAAGGCTGTGAAAAATAGAAAATGTTTAGGTTTTTTTTTTAGTAGCAGTCATCATTTTAACTTGAATGCCAGAGATTTCCCCCTATAAAAACTTATTTTCAAAGAGCAATAAAGACACTTAAACTTAGCTATCCCCTCTCTAAAGGTCTTTTGTACATTTGTGACAAGTGCATTCAATTCCCACAACAAAAAAACCAAAAAACAACCCAGTGTGTTCCTAACTAATGTGCTTTGTTTAATGAAACCAGAAATGTTTTTCGGTGGCTATCATAAAAATGGAGGAGTTTCTTGACCCTTGAATGCATTTTTACCTTAGAAAATGTTCAGACAAGCCAAAGCATTAAAAAGCTTCCTTTCTCATGACAATCTGTATAGAACTTTTCATACACTCTAGCCTCTTGCCTAGAAACGTCCTGAAACAAAAACAAACCAAAAAACTTCCAGACAAGAATACTTTGTTTCATTTCATTGGCTCTTGTATGATCAAGTTTGTGTTCATACTTGTGTAGTTATAACTGTTGTTTTATAAATAATTTTAGAATTCCTTTAGTTTGCAAGAAGGAAAAAATACAAACTACTAGAAATCCGAATCATTGTTTTCAGCGAAGGAGGTTATTTCATCTTTTAGAATATGCTTCTTACCAGATATTGCCTAGATTTAGCCCTTTTTGCCAGATGACATCCATTTCTTTTCTCTGTTTTACTTAGTTACTTTTCTTAACCTTCCGAGTTCTGGGAAGGGAAAGAAGCTAAGAGGAAGGGTTAGCTATTTATTCATACTGTTTACAAATCTAATATTTAAAATGTCCCTCTTGGAATTAGTAAATTTTCATTTTGGTTCTTAAACTACTGAATAGAAATGAAATACTGTGCTAGCAAAATTCTTGGGGAAAACAAAAAACCTTAGGCAAACGGTTTGATAAATGCTTACCTTATTAGCCTGTTATCCCCCCGCGCGTCACCCTGTCTGTCCTGGAGACCTCTTGCTGCTGTGGCCGAGTCCTCCCATGGACTTACTCGGCGCTGCCAGGGCTGGGCTTGGAAGCAGTGAGCAGATGTGTGCTATAGCTGTAAGCGTGCCAAGAGTATTTCCTCCCTGATGTGCTCAGTTTGTAAGCCACCAGTAGTGTGTTCCTCCCCTGATGTGCTCAGTTTGTAAGCCACCAGTAGTGTGTTGAACGGCTTCATGACTCTTGAAGTTACAATCTTAAGCACGCTCTTTGATATATAGGGGGCTATAATAAAGCCTGTCTTTTTAGCTGGTTTATGTTTGGGATTAATTCTGAGCTCTTTTGCCATTTGAGAAAAATAAGAAATATTCTAGAGCTTGATTCTACCCTATTGGCCTTCCTAGTGATTTCTACGACAGTTCTGAACTCTAGCAATGAAAAAATGAGTCGTCTCTAGTTCTTTTACCTTTGCTGTGGAACACAATTAATTTGCTCAGTTTACATCCTTATATAGAAGAACACAGAAAGGTCTGAATACTGTGTGTGTGTGTCTGTGTGTGTGCTCATTTTAGCAGGAACTTTTTCATTGTTCTTTTAACAGATGACCTCTGAATTTGGGAGTTCTTTAGTTGTAGTTTTTGCCAAAAAATTGACTTTAAGGAATATATTATGGATGTAAAAACTGTGTATGTTTCTGCCTTAATTCAGACCATTGAGTATAAATCTTAGCAGCTGAACTAAGTTCTCTCTCAACTATAAGACTACCTTAATTTGTTTCAAATATATAATCTTTAATTTGCATTGAAAGTTATTGGAAAATATGTGGGGTTTCGTTTGTTTGCTTGGGGGTGTGTGTGTGTGTGTGTGTGTGTGTTTCCCTCATTTGTGTGGAATTTCTATAACCTCACTCTGGAGATGGTGCAGAGCAAGGCCCCAAGCTGTTTCAAAACTGTTCGTGCAAGCACTGTAGGAATGCGCACGGTCGCTCCAGACCCAGATGCACTGGAGGTTTGCAGAGCTTGCTTGTGTTTGAGATGAACTCGTTCGTCACTGAAGACCCCAAGTCCATTTCAGTTTTACTTTTACTTTTTTTTTTTAAAGCCACTCAGACCACTGTTCAGGTGTGTGGGCTAAGAAATCTGGAGAGATCTTTTTTTGTTTTGTTTTAAAGAAACATACTATATATTTACGTAGCCTGTTAAACCCTCCATATATGTTGTTCTTTTTCTCCTTCACCTCTTCCTTCCTTCCTCCCTCCTCCATAACCCATCCCTAAGCTCCCTGTTGTCACCTCTGCCCCGGCCGCCCTAGAGTTATCAAAGTCTTGTCTATTGGTGTATAAAACATGTTTCTTTTTCTTTGTTTTACCTTAGAACAATAATGTTAAATATTTGTCCTTGTAAGATTAACTGAATTTGCTAAGCATAGTGCTCTCCAGCTTTGTCCGTGTCTTGCAGTGTTTAACAGAGTTGTCATTGTTTTTTATTGGTGCATAATATTCCATGGTATGAATGTCCCAGAGCTTATTTATCCATTCCTCTGTCGTTGGAGGTTTTGGTTGTGTCCATGATTTTGTTGTTACGCATACGGCTGCAGTAAATGTAGGTGTGCGTATATCTGTTTATGTTGATTTCTTTAGGATATTTACTCAGTAGAGAAATGACTGGATCAAAAGGTACTTATAATTGTTTTGTGGGGTTTTTTTTGTTTCTTTGGGGGTTTTTTTGAGGAAGTGCCATACTGATTTCCATAATGGTCTGACAATTCTACAGACCCATTAGCGATGTACGAGGGTTCCTAGCTCTCAACATCCTCTTCAGCATTTATTATTATCCGTTTTATTAAATTTTGCTGAAAGTGTTAGTGTGAGATATCTCATTATTTTAATTTACATTTCTCTTATTGTTAATGAAAGAAAATATTTCTATATTTGGTTGTTTGGCCACCTAAATGTTGTTTTTGGTAAATTATCTATTCATGTCTGGTGCCCAGTTTTTATTGGGTTATTTGTATTTTTCATGTTAAGATGTTACCGTCCTACAGATTTGGGAGATTAGCCCTTTATTTGATGCATTGTGACTGGATATTTTTTCCCAGTCTGTGGGTTCTCTATTGAGTCTCCGGTTCTGTTCTACTGAACAGCTGAACTTTTTCTTTATTTTTTACCTAAGATTTTAGGCAGAATTTGCTGCCCTTTGTTCCCCCTTAAAAATCATGACTTAGGAAGAATACAATCCGTTGCATTTACTAAGAATTCTTGATAGAAAAATGACGTAGTTATCCAGGACAATTAAATCTATTTTAATGTGCCAGAATTTCTATTCTGGAATATGGAGATATTAACAAATAGATCTTTGTTCTGATCACAACTTGAGTTTTGTGCTTTGCAGGCAGGAAGGGGTCTATAAAACAAATAATGATTGATTTCAAAGTTCAATGAAAAGACGTGTGAAATAAGTCATCTTTGGTTTGTGGTTTTCTATCATTTCCTAAAATAGATTATAAAAATACCAATCTTATTTTAATGGCTTATCAATGCTAACTTTTTTGCCTATGTTCAATCACTTTTTTATTTAAAGAGTTATTTAAATTAATTCTTTTTAAAAATTAATTCTTGGATTGTTTTCTTTGCTTAATTGGCTTAATGGCTAAGGAAGCACAGCCAGCAGCAGCAGGGCCACAAGGTGCTGGGACAGCCGAGCACCGGAAGGGGTGCAATGGGGAATGGGGGTGAGTGCGTGGATGGGTGGCAGGTGAGTCTCTGAGTTGGCAAATAACTAACCCTTATGCAGGTCAGCTCAAAGACAGTCTGACGTCCCTACTTCATGTCTTTGAACACACAAGTACACGGTCTCGCCTGCTTCCCCCAACTGTCATGAAAATAACATTTATCCATGGAGGTCATCTAAGTAGTATAAAAGGATATCCAGTAATAAATTAACTTTAGGGACAATTTTAACAACCATGTTTGACTGTAAACCAGAAAGTAGAAAAGCATTTCGTAAATAACAATATCAGTTGAAAACAAAAAGGCAGAAATTAACATACTTGTAATAGGGTCTTGTAGCTGTCATCCTTCCACACTAATCATTGAGAGCTTGCTCATTCTGTATTCATCCATGTTTTAGATGACAGGAAAATGTGAAGTGCAGTGTTGTTTTTTGGGGGGGTTTTTTTGTTTTGTTTTAAAGACTTCCATACAAGATTATTTTTAAAGACGTGTGTAAACCTTTGATTCTTTGTGGGGGCACAGGACAGGCTATAATACCCAGGAGCTTCTATTTGTGTAAAATACTTCATTTCCCCAAAACTTCCAATAAGTTACTTAATTAGTCATATAGGCTTTGTTTTATCTAAGCTGCCTCTTAAGTTTATTGAATAGATTCTGGTTTTTGACAAACTAGCATTTTTTGCCGAATTCCTGAGTGGTGTGAACAGTTCGTGCACTCCGCTAAAACCCCAAATGTAGGAGGTTTGACTCCACTCAGAGCCACCCCAGGAGAAAGGTTGATTGATTGACTTCTGGAATGTCAGCCGTGGAAGACCCTACTTAGCTCTGTGACAGTGTCAACATGTGTCAGAGTAGGCTCATCGGCCACTGATAATCTTACAAATCTGGTAAGCTAGCTGAGATATCAACTGGGGATATTTTTTACCTCTCAATTATAATATCTATCAGATACTAGTTATTCTGTAAGAAATTTAAAATTATGCAGATTTTGCCCTTACATATTGATTTATTTGTGAAATACGAGGGGTTACCCCCCAAAATCTGGATGTGATGTGAGGAGGATAGTGCATTTAGAGTTCATTCCACCAGGTCAGACTGTTAATCAAGCTTTCTATTTAGAGGTTCTAAAAAGATTGTCACAGTGTGCAACAAGAAAGGGCCTGATTCATGGGAGACAAGGAACTGGTTTTGCCACCACCACAATGCACCGGGCTCATGCAGCCACCTCAGTGCGCCAGTTTTTGGCAAAACAGCATGTCTCTTGCCCCACTTACATTACTCCCCCGAGTTCACTCCATTCAGCTTCTTTTTGTTTCCACTGATCATCTATTCCAATTTTAACACTTCCACTGAGCTAGCCAGAGAATGAATAAGAAAAGATTGAATGAAAAGCTGAGAAATATTTGAGGTACGGGGGGGCGGGGGCGGGGAGGCTGTTGAAATAACCTAGTTTTAAATCTAACAAATTGGGATTTAATTATCCATAACTCGTTTGCATTTCATAAGATTGTGTACACAAAAGCTAAAAATGTTTATCTTCTTCATTGTTGTTTCTCTAGAGAATATGAAGAGGGTACCACCAAAAAGGGTTTTTTTTTCAAAGCTCTGTATTTAAATTTTTTACAAAACAACCTTATCACCTTCAAAGTACTCTCCATTACACTGAATACATTTGTCAAATCTGCGATTCCATTCCTGGAAAGTGTTCAAACTCATCTGTTTGGATGGCTAACAGCACCTCCCTCGTTTCTTCTTCACCTCTTCTACACACTTGGAATCCATGCCTTGTATTTACAGTCCCTCGACTAGACCGTCTTTCTCACAGCACGCTCAGGTTTCTCACTCATGACAAAGCCTTTCCTTAGTCCTCAAGTTACCATGATCTTTTTCCACCCCCGACCAGACTTCTTTAAGTAGCTATCTTTTCTTACCACCCACACAGTTTGTCATCCTTATAGTCAGGATTTTGTTCCCAGTATTCTGCTAAAAAAACTCTTGGAAAATCAGTGATTCACACTGTTGTTGATTTGGGAGAATGTCCAAATTGACTCAGCATTTATCCTTAAAACTTTGTCTACTCCTGGGTTTAGAGATGCCCTTTCTGGTTCTTTCTCTTATAGAATCTTTCCTAACCCTATTACATCCCTTAATATACAGATTCCCTCTGGGTCACCTCTCAGTTAACTTCATCTTCTTAATATTCTTCCCCTGTGCATTTTTATCAACTTGAGGAAGGACTTAAAACTCAATATCTAGCCAGTGACTATGAGTCTGTGGTTGATGAAATGGGACTTGCAGCCTACTCAAGGATAGAAGCCTCGCTTCGTTTATCTGTTAGTTTCTACCTCTCTTCTGTATGAAGAAGGGAGGGATATAGTGTTAGCTGGGCCTCTCCCTCCAAGAGGAAGTTGAAGACTAGGAACAAATGCATGTTTAGGACAAAAAGCAGAAACCATTGTGAAGCACATTAAACTGGACTGGGCTTTGGCGTTTGAAAGGGTCATATTGTGGTGGTCTTGGAGAACCAAACTCAGTTGATTTTGGGGGGTCACTTAATCACAAAGCACAGAAGGGGGGCCATGGGTAAAATCAGAGTTTGCCAGAGAGGTAAGACAGAATAAAGTGGGCAAGCTAAATAAGGTGGCATTACTGGTATTGTGGAGGTGTATTTATGCCATGCTGTAGTTCCCATAGCACCAAGGTAAATGTTCTCTCTCAGTACTGTAGAAAGGCAAAAGATTCTAGAAAAGAGAGTAAAGCAACTGTGTCAAGAACAAGAAAACAAGTTTTGTGGGTAAATGACAGTGTTTCCTGTATTACACTTGATGATCCTAAGGAACCAAATCCCTGCCAGATGGGGATGCTGAGCCTGCAAGGCTGGTGATCACTGGATTCAGCTCTTGGAGGTGGCCCTTCCTCATTCAAACACTTCCTTAAATGTCAGGCTAATTCAGCTTGATGAGAAACCAAGTATATATGTGTTCATAACCATAAAAATCAACGAAGAAGCAATAAAGTCTTCAATAAACCGCAACAAGTTGTTTGAAGACTTCTTCATTTGCTGATAAGGAATAAGCAAAAGCCATTGAAAATGCTATAATTCTTTGACTAAAATCCAAAATGATACACATATGGGAATCCTTGAGAAATTTATTTTCAAATGTTAGAGATTTCCGTTGGTGTAGAAATGCAATCTGTGATATTTGAGTCTTGTTCCTTAGTATGTGAACAAATTAATCTGGAAAATATACCAAGTTAGGAAATTAACTCTCGAGTTGTAAATCA